GGGTGAAAGTCTTCTTTTCGCAATCTGGTCCCCTGCGCTACTCTCCAAAGTCTTCCAAGATAGTAAATTCTCAATTCATACACCAAATGGCTGTGTTTGAAATGGTTCCTCTACCCGGAGGTGACAGCAGAGGGCAGCACTGTCACAACAGATAAGCAGGACATGTAAATAAGCAAGTGTAGGGGGATTTTCCCCTACAGGTGAGCTGTATCATTGGAGGCACTGGGTGGGAGCTTCAAGATCTTGAGCTTGTCCTTTGCTCTTTTAGGGGATTGGCTTACAAATGTGATGTTAACCATTGCTTCATGTAAAAATAAGGAAAATGTGGCTATGGGAGGCCGCTGAGGAAGATGGATCAGGCCAGAGCAGAATGTTTGGTACTGGCCCCTCCAGCTGGCTCATAGGCAAAAATCTCTTCTTACTGAGCCTCCAATTCCCCAGCAAAAGGCAGCCAGGGCTGTCCCTTCCTCAGGGAAGCCCTCAGCTCATGATCTAGGCAACCTGTAAACCATCACTCCAACCCTCTGTAGAACTAGTGGAGAAGGAAAAAAAAAAAGATTCAGCTTCACGTATTATTCAGATCCTTTTTTAAAAAAGATTTTTATTTATTTATTTGACAGAGAAAGAGACAAGGAGAGAGGGAACACAAGCAGGGTGAGTGGGAGAGGGAGAAGCAAGCTTCCTGCTGAGCAGGGAGCCCGATGTGGGGCTTGATCCCAGCAACCCTGGGATCATGACCTGAGCTGAAGGCAGATGCTAATGACTAAGCCACCCAGTCGCCCTACTCAGATCCTTAAAAAAGAAATATGAGAGAGAGAGAGAGAGAGAGAACACAAGCAGCGGGGAGCAGCAGAGGGAGAGGGAGAAGCAGACTCCCCACTGAGCAGGGAGCCTGATGAGGGGCTCGATCCCAGGACCCCAGAATCACGACCTAAGCCGAAGGCAGATGCCCAACAGATCCCTTTTAAGAGGTGAGCAGAGAGCAGGTAGGAGTTGCCACAACCCAAAATCAAGCTTTAAGAGCCGGGCCTGAAAGTAAATTTGAGGCTGGGCCATTTTGAAACGCAGCAACACTTTACGGTGTGTCCTTATTTGAGAAAAGGTATCCTTCCCGTGCTGCTGAGAACCTTCTTTTTTCCCCCCTTCTTTGCAAATTTTATTTTATTTATTTTTTATTTACATATAATGTATGAGAACTTTCTTTTTAACTCTCATGGAACCCAGGGTCATTTCTCCTTTGGCTTTGCCTAGGGGTCCCCAGTGGAAAATTACAGGAGAGAAGAAAGCAGGCTGAGTGGAGAGGCAGAGCTAATGCTTGAGTCCTCACTATGTACTGAGTGCCATTCTAAACACTCTATCCACCGACTTGGAATCTTCACAAGAACCTTCTCAAGCAGGTCCCATGATTAGTCCCATTTCACAGATGAGGAAATTGAGGCTGAGAGGGGTTAGGCAACTCACCTGAGATCAGACAGCTAGTAAGTGCAAGCTGGGATTTAAACACCAGCAGGCTGGCTCCGGAGTCCATGTTCTTAAATATTATGCTGTACTGTCCCTGCCTTTTTGACTTGTTATTTCAAGACAGCTGACTGCTCCAAGCAAAGATAAGGGTTTCAACTTCTCTAAGTAATCCTACTCAGCACAAGACTTGGGAGTGGACCCAGGAGGAAAGAGGGAACTGGGAGCTCTCAACCCAAGAAAATCCACTCTCCAAAGAAGAGGAATGGGATAAAAATCATGAGCCCAGAACAGAGAGGGTAATAGTGTGTCAGAAAGAAGCTGTTTCCACTGCAGGCTTAGTGGAAATCTCCTTTGTAAAATGCAAAATAAAAAGTGAGGTAGTGGCTGAGTGGACCAGGACATGGAGTGAATGACCAAACTTGGAGCAAAAAAGTCCCTTCTCCCTCTTCCCTCCAGGGAAATACAGGAGCTTGGAAAGTCAAAAGACAAGTTATGGGCAGAAGACAAAATATAATGAGCTAATGTGGGAAATCTCCGGTCAGACTAGGTCTATGGTTCCAAAGGCAAAGATTGCACATTAGTCAGAATAAATGCCCTGCCTTGTCTTTATCACTTACACGTCAAGTGGCAAGCCAGGGCATGCTAGCTGGTCAAAGGCCCAAATGACAACATGAATGACAACCTGAACCGAGTTTCCACCTGGGCCTGATAGAAATGTTCCTCTAGCTTCGAAAAACTGAGAAGCTTTTCTTTTTATTGAGTAGTCAGATAGGCAAGACAATATCGCTTTCTTTAGGTTAAGCCTCACTGTAACCTCTTTTGCCTTATGATTCAGAAAATTCCAGCCTCTAAAGTAGGGGGAGGGGGCAGCAGCAGAATCGAGCTCACAGCCAGACAAGGGGGCTCGCCTCACCCCAACCTTGTACATATCTGTTTTTCTCTGCCTCCCAACTACCCCCATCTCCATCTCCCCATATATCTCATAAACACACACACACACACACACACACACACACACACACTCTAATGTGCACAAGCCATTGAGTCCATCAGCTGGTTAGGTAACATTCAAAGCATCCTGATTATCCTACCTTGTAGACTAAACTTATTTCTTTGAGATATTTCAGAAAAACAGAGTCATCCCTTCCTTTGAATCTTCACCCATAACACATATAATGCCCTTGCAGGAAGGAGCATGATACAGTGGAATCAGACCTTGATTCTAAGGCCAACTCTGTTATACGATAGTGGATTTGACTTTCCTCTTCTGTAAAAAGGGAAATTTTCCTACTTCATAAGGTGCTTGGAGAAATTAAGGAAATGACATATAATGTGTCTAGCATAAAGCTTTGTACACAAAAGACATTCAATATATATTGATGTCTTTTTGCACAAGAGGTCAAAATCACTTGGGCTCTCCCTAGAAACCCAGGACCTTATTTCTGAGATGGGTTGCTTAGCATCTGTGTTATTTATTTCCCAAAACTAAATAATGGTAGAAGGGGTGAAGGGAAAAGGCCCTACCTCCTAGAGATATCGAAGGATCCAGAAAGAAACACAGCAGAGAACATCTTCCTTCCCCTGTGCACAACTTTCTCCTTCCAGTGGTAGGGGGCTACAAAGCTCGAGAAGGAGTTCCTCCAGTACTTGAGAGAGAAAGAAAAGTGGTGCCAATTTTAAGATGGTTTCTCAGGTCTCTCCCTAGATACCAAACACAAAGGTCAACAGGTAAGAGCTCAGCAGAGGTATCAGGCAGCAACATAGGGAAAGAAAAATTTTCTTCCAATCAGTACAGTGTATGCTTAGGGAAGGTATTTGTCTCTTTGGTTCTTTCCCATCAAGCCACTGAACAGCAACTGCAGTAAGTGAGGACATCAGAGAGAAAAGCCTCAGTTGAACTAACAAATGCAAACACTTGACAAGTGAGAAAGCTTTATTGAAGCACACATACATTTCAGGGCATGGAGAACAAAGGAGCGAGTTACAGACCAGGATTCCAAATTATGCTTTCCAATATAGCATCAAGCCATACAAACAAACCTTTTAAAAAACACTCCTCCATTCAGCTCACCTATACAGTAGAAACCACAGCAGCTGCCCTTGATCTAATGGCCCTTCTAGGAGAAATCAGCAGACTCTACCAAAGGGGATCTTTTCTCTGGTATAGACTCCTTTCACAAACAACTTTGTGTAGATACACTTGCAAGTATAAAAAGGTCCGTTTGGTACAGTGAGTTTCAGAAAAGAAACTCAGGTCACTAGACCCTTCTTAGAAAGGTCTCAACGCATCACATCCACATTACATCTAGGTAACATTTAGGAAACAATAGGAAAAATAGAAACTGAAGTCACTTCAAGAAGGAAGTCAGAATAACTAGGAGGTTTTCTGAACACATTCTCTTAGAGTACTAACAGTGCCCAGTCTGGAGAAACACTGAGCCAGCTTACTTTTTTTTTTTTTTAGATCTTATTTATTTATTTGAAATGGAATGTGAGAAAGAGAGCACAAGCAGGGGGTAGGGGTAGAGGGAGTGGGAGAAGCAGGCTCCTCACTGAGCAGGGAGGCCAATGTGGGGCTCCATCCCAGGACCCCCAGATCATGACCTGAGCCAAAGGCAGATGCTTAACCAACTGAGCCACCCAGGTGCCCCAACACTAGGCCAGTTTAGACAGTACTTGGCTATTCTGGCTGGCATGATGGTACGTAGACCATATTCTGTGTGGTACCACACCGTGGACACAAGCACTCAGAAAGATGTGGCACACGAAGGTGAAGATGTCTTTTATTAAAGAAATGAGGAGCTCTCCAACAACAGCTGTATCTGTATAAAATGCAAAAATGCAGCACGGGCTGGGAGACATTTCACTCTCAGCCAGTCGGGTCCTATGAGACCACCGAGAAGCCATATGGGGCATGTCCATGACTCAGTAACTACCTAACTAACGTGTTTTTTTTTTCCTAAAGCAGCTCCATTTTAAGGGTCTGCTAAAGGTCTAGTGAAGGTGTCTGGAGCTGGAAGGAACTTGGGAATTTTCTTAGCATTTCAAAGGAAACCATGAGACCCAAGCGCTACAAAAACTGCTTAAGAACACGAAGAGTTAAAAGCCAAGTTCCAGAAATTTATCAAGGTAAAAATGGAGTTAAAAACAGAAATTGGAAAGGAAGGGGGCAGACCTGCTCACCTCTCTCCCATCTTCTCCTACCTTTAGTAACCCAACCCTGCTTCCCAGAGCCTTGGCCTCAGACCAGGCACACCGTCCAACACAGACCTGTATGAATGCCAAAGATAGCCAGAGCTTCCTGGGGAAGGAGGAAAAGCACTGCAAGACAGGGGATTTTTTAAAAAAGCTTGTTTTAAAAGATTTTAAGTTAATTAAAGATCGTAAGGATATATGCATGGACTCTGGAAATATACTAGATGAAGCACAAATAAAAACATTTGGAACAGACCCTTACTCTTGAGCCTACTTTAGAAAAGGGAAAGAGTCTGCATGACTCTAGCATAATGAGAACTGTAGAAATACGTGTTTACACACACACACACACACACACACACACATAACACACAAACATACACACACACACACAACATTATAAATCTTTGCTCTTGGTTTCTTCATGTCCTCTGACTTGCCCTGGACAGGGCTGGACCTGCAGAGAAGGACGGGGACTCATAGGCCCAGCTTCTGTTTGGCCATCGAGGAACGCAACTGCAGAGTCCCTTCTGCCCACGACCCTGGGTACTGTCGCATCTTCTGCCACAGGCTCACTTCTTCCCCAGTCGAGTCCATCCAGTCCACCACTTCCCCATTACTGATCCCTGAGGAGAAACACCAGAGGAGCAGCTGAACAGGGAACCCATGCCTCAGCCACCCTCCCCCCAGGAAAGAGGGGTTACATGGCAAGGGTAGCCATCCCACAAAAGACAGCATATTAGGGAGATGGGTGGATGGGGATGGCCGTCCGGGAACTGCTCCCTAGTGACTCGGCAAGGCTGTCTCTGTGCTCCTGAGACTCAGTCAAGAGACTTCAGACTGAAGAAATGAGACTCCAAAGAGCACACAGTGGCTTCAGATCTCTCCTTCTGAGGCCATGACAGAGCTCTTATGTCTGACACCTCATGCCAGAGCTACTGCCTTTTTATCACTGCCAACTCAACTGGAAATTAAAAAAAAAAAAAGGTGGGGGTGGAGGGGTGGGAGAAGCAGCAGCTAAACACCTTTTTTTCTCTAGCTATAGACTCCAGGCCTGAGGTTCGGATTGGATGTGGCCTCATTCCTACTGTCTTGTACATTCATTTTTTCAACAAACAATTATTGAGTACCTACCGTGTGCCAGGTACTCTTTGAGGCTTCGGAGATACAGTGGTGAACAAAGCAAAAAAAAAAAAGAAAAAAGTCCTGCCTTATAAGCAGCTTACATTTGAATAGAGGAAACACAACATTTACAAGGAAGTCAAGAATACTTGAGATAGTGAGATAAGTGTCATGAAGTAACTAAAGAGGGTGGTCGGTGGTGCCTAGATTAGGGCCTCATTTAGCTGGAATAGTCTGGGTGCCTCTCCAAGGAGACATCTGAGTAGAACACCGAAGGATGGGAAGGAGCCAGAGAGAGGTTAACAATAATTGCAAAGGTTCTGAAGTTGGAATGAGCTTGGTATATTTGGAAAGCAGAAAGAGTCATTGTGTTTGGAGCACAGGAAGCTAGCAGAAAAGTGATATAAGGATAGATTATAAAGGAACAAAGGGTCCAGAATCCGGAGGGGCCTGTCAGAATGGCAAGAACTTTGGATTGTCTTCTAAGCACAGGAGTGAGCCACCGAAGGGTTTTAAGTGGGGGATTGATACGAACTTGCCTGCATTTGTGAAAACCTCATTCTAGACACTTCAGGTTAAGTGCTTTATATGACTTCTTAATATACAAGTAGTATTTAAGGCTGCAGGCATGAAGAGACTGCAGAGAGGAAAAAGGATTCAAGACTAAGCCCTGAAAAACACCAGTATTTAGAGTTTGGGTAGAGAATAAGAAAGCTCCAAAGACAAATGCAGAATCAGTAGGAGCTAAGTATTTCAAGAAAAAGGGAGACAGAAGCCAGATCACAGTGGACTGAGGACTAAAAGAGATGCGAGGAAGTAGAGACAATTCCTTTTAAGAAATTAAAAGTGGGAATGTAGGGTCAAGAAAAGGTTAATTTCTGTTTCTTAAAGATTGGCAATATCAGAGCTTACTGGTTTTCTCCTCCAGTAGGGAGGTAGAGGGAATGAAAGCGATCAGACAGGAGAGAGAGGATTCCAAAAGCTTGAGGTTAAGAAGGTTAGGATATGATCCAGAATACTTGGAAAGAGCAAGGACTTTGCTAGAAAGGCCCCTCTTTTGTTACAACAGGATAGAAGATGGAAATTATCCGTATGGATGCAGGTAGGTTTTTAGGTTTTTGGGGTGGTAAAATGGCATCATTTCTGGCAATCAGGGTCCCATTCATGTGTACCCATTAACAGTGCATGAGCTCAGCCTTCCCCTGAGGCCTGCACATAGTAGGCACTCAGTCAATTGTGACCAGACATTAACTGAAAGAAAAGAAGACTGCTTTTGCCACAGAGAGGCTCCGAAGGAAGGGCTATGGGTATTTGAGGACTGAAAAATATGCAAGAGGCCTTTAAAATAGTCAGGACCGGGGATAGGCTCTCACCAGTGCCAACACCCAGCCTGACCCCACCCAGGAAGTCATTGCTGGCCAGAGGCTCCCGGTCCCACACAGTCAGTTCCAGGCACATGTGTTGCAGATCTTCCAGCCTCACACCATTGTAGACAAATGTGTGGTTGTAGTGGGGATTCAGGGTCTTCTTCATCACGGGAGTTTTACGCTTACTGGCCTTGTTCCTCATGGGAAGGAGATATCTGGCAGAGGGCAGGGAGTAATCAACAACCTACTCAAAGCTGGCAAATACCTATCTAAATTCCCCTTTCCCCTGGTGCAGGCCTAGCCCAGGGAGGGAGGTTGTCAGGCGGATGCGAGCACACACTCCCTCCTCCAGATATCCTGAAGCAGACTTCCCACTACCCCCACTGGATCATTCACCTGATTCAGTTCCTTTAACCTGGAGAGAAAATTAATACAGTGTCATTAATAAACTCTTATCTATACTCAACCAAACATGGGTTTTAAATATTTGATTTAAATATTTCTCCTGGACAAGGTCCTCTTTCAAGAAAACCAACAGTCGTTAACTATAGGCCTAGCCAACCATGATTTGCTAGAGAACTTAAGTCAGCAGGATGATCTATCATTGGGGCGGGGAGAGCTGGTGTTGCTTCAGTATTGTGGGGAGCACAGTCCTGAGTTCTTAAATCCTAACAGTCAGGGGATATAGCTTTTGATTCAGGATTCATTATAATAAAGCCAAAGTCTGTAACAAAGGAAAGTCCAGCCTGTCTATCTACCACCCTCCTCTCTGGAAATCCACACTATAGCACAGTCCAAACTGAGCTCAGACCAGGACAAAGGTGGTTGTAGAGGTTGTCCCATTACCTATTTTCAGGAACAGAGTTGGCTGCTGGAGGCAGTGGAATACACAAGGATAATATCCACAGAGAAAGGTTAATTTGGGCTCCTCTCTTAGTTTCCTTGTCCCAGAACTGGTTAGTTTGGTGCTGGCCAGGGACTCACCCCTTGACAAAGCTGTCTGAAGTCCCTCCTGATTTGGCAGCCGTCAGGTTCTTGGCTTCTTTGATCCACACCTGGAGCTCTCCCCCTTCCCCACCTTTACCTGCAAGGGAGGTCAGCCATAACAAGTTGATCCCCTCCCCGCTTCAGATTTCTCTTGACCTTTGCCTACAGAGCACCTTCCATCCCTGGCTCCTGAAGGCAGCAAGCTCCATGACAACTGGACCACATCTGACTTCCACTCTCAGGACCTAACACAGTGCCTGACTCAACTAGTAAGGACAATAGCAGCAATAAATGCTTTTTAGAAAACTGGCTATATGCCTGATTCTACATTAAGCATTTAATTGTCAAAGCAACAGTAGAAGGTATCTACTCTTATTCCTAATTTATAGATGGGAAAGTGGAGGCTTAGAGAAGTGAAGTTGCCTGGTATTTGTTGAATGATTTTTAAAAAGGGAAATCCCGTACGTGTGTTCTTAATCCCATGCCCACTTCGCAGGACGCATCAGGAATCATCAATTTCAACCCCCATCTTCCATTTTTTTAAGATTTTATTTATTTATTTGAAAGAGACAGAGAGAGATAGCACAAGCCCGGGAGGAGAGGCAGAGGGAGGAGCAGACTCCCTGCTGAGCAGGGAGCTGGATAAAGGGTTTCCTCCCAGGACCCTGGGACCATGACCTGAGCCAAAGGCAGATGCTTAACCCACTGAGCCACCCAGGAGCGCACTCCACCCTCCCCCCCCACCACTTTTTAAAAGATTTTATTTATTTATTTGAGAGAGAAAGTATGTGTGAGTGAGAGAGAGCAAAAGCCAGGGAGGCGGGAGAGGCAGAGGGAGAACCCACCTCCCATTTTTAATATCTCTTCCTCTACTAGTCCTGTCGCCTCAGTCTAAATATACACTAATCTCACCTCTTCTTTTGAAAATCCTTTAAAAAGTGTCGCCTGGGTGGCTCAGTTGGTTAAGTGTCTGCCTTCGGCTTAGGTCATGATCCTGGGGTCCTGGGATCGAGGCCCACATTGGACTCTCTGCTTATCAGGGAGTCTGCTTCTCTGTCTCCCTCTGCCCCTCCCCCTCGCTTATGCCCCCCACCCCGTCTCAAATAAATAAATCTCTTAAAAGAAGAAAAAATCCTTTAAAAAGAAAATCTCCCTTTACCCCTACCTCTTTCTTTCACCATCAATTATCCTAAAAAAAAAAAAAAAAATTAAAAAAAAAAGAGTCCCCACTCACTACTTCTAATTCTTCGCTTTATTCACTCAGCCTAGTTTCTGGTGAAAGCTGGCTTCTGCTTCCACTAACCCACTGAAAAGACAACCTAACGCTGATGAGCCATGTCTTCCCGGTCCTCACCGGCCTGACGTCCCAGTTGTATTTCAACACTATTGACAACCTCTGCTCTTTTCTTCTGCAAGCTCTTTCCTAAAATAACCCTCTACCTCATTAGCTTTCTGTCCTGTCTTCATCCTTTAAAGTGTTGCTCTTTCCTACGGTCCCATCCTTGCTTCTCTTCTCTAGTCACCCACACACCCTTCTTGGGGGTCTTGTTGAACCCTGTATCCTATGGATTAGACCCTGCAACAGTTTTTCCAAGAACTTTGGCTTCCCATTGCACCAGTGGGTCAAACTCAACTCCTTACTGTTATGTTCAAAGCCCTTTTTAGTCAGGCAACTGCAGCTCCACTCCCCCATATACAAACCATAACCTCAGCACCACCAAAAAAAGGAGTTCACTACCTCACACTTTACATCCAACCCCACGTTTACCATGCCTTTTTAAAACCTTTCCTCTTGCTATCTCTTCTGGAACTGCTCTTCTCACCCCATCCTCTTCTGAAGTCCAGTTTCGTCCTTACTTCCTCTTTCGATTTCTCCCCAAATGTAACCAGAGAGAATTCATCACTCCTGTGTCTGTGCTCTTTCAACATACGACTGTCGTCCTCACTACACTAAGCTTCTCTAGGGAGGGCAAACATGTCTTATTCATCTACATGTCCCTAGTCACTGGCACAGCGCCCGGTGTGTTCATTTACTCTGCCTTGACCTTTAACTTCCTGTCCCTCACATTTCACCACCCCGTGCAACCACCCTTTCTCACCCCCAAAGTTTCTGTTCTAATCTGCCCTCTTAATAGCTTGCTATACCTGGACTGATAACAAGTCAGTTTAATGGCCTAAAAAAAAAAAAAACGAGTGCCAATGCTAAGATATTCCCTTCTGGTTGAAAATGATGCGGAAAAGTCTTTCTTAGTAAAGGAATCTTCCCTAGAACATGATCCAAGGAGCATCTCAATCTTGTCTCACCAACAGAGCTGGCCACCAGCTGCACTATCTCACAGATGCCCTGTATGGAACACCAAGGACTAAATCCAGCAAACCCCCCCCCCAAAAAAAAAACTCACTCTTTTTCCAGTCACCTCCAACAGGGAGTTTGGAGGCTGGGATGTATTTCAATGAAACCACCAACTCGCCTTTGTGTGATGGCAAGCCAGTCAGGGACTCAGCACTGATCTGAAACACAGGGAAACCCGACAGGTCAAGCGGGGCTTCTCAGGAGTTGTTGGGACCTCTTGCTGAGGAGACTCGAAAATTGACCCCTAGAACAGCTTCATGACATGAGAGAATCCTCCTTATGGATACAATCCAGGGTACCTAGGCCATGGCAGCCACAGGATTCTAAGGCAGTTCCTTCAGAAGGAGCTGGAGAAAAAACAGTGAAGTTCTTCTGCAATGTCCACTGTTTTGCTACTTGGGGATACACTGACTAGATTCCAAATGCCCTCAAAGGTCTTCCAGTGAAGTTGCCACACAGACTCACAGGCGACGGATACCATGATGAGGAATCTTGCTACCAACATTGTTAGTAAAAGCCAAAAAGTGGAACAACCTAAATGTTGATCAATATAGAAAAGGTTAAGTGAGTGATTTTAATGCCCGCAGATGGCGTCTGGATTACAGCATGCAATCATCAAAAACAACCCAGGGAATCCATACGTGCTGACTGAGAAAGATACCCAAGCCATACTAGTAAGTCAACAAAGCAAAATGCAGAATAAGTATCCTGCTTATGTTGACATATGTTCATGTTTATACATGTGAATATGTATGTATGTAAATAATGATAATTATCACTTATATAGTACTTACTATGTTATAAGTACTTTAAGTATATCATTTTGTATCATCCTCAAGATTACACATAGGTATGACACTATAGGTACTATTAGCCCCATGTTACAGATTATGGAACAGAGAGGTTAAGTAACTTGCCCAAGGTCACACAGTTAGCAAATGGCAGAGGCAGGATTCAGATTCAGATAGACTAGTTCCAGAGTCTATGCTTTTAACCACTATACTACACTGCATAGGATAAATTTGTATCTTTTTCTCCTGACCAAAAAAAAAGAAAGAAAGAAAGAAAAAGAAAAACCCTGAAGGATACATACAAACTTAACACTTGTTTATTCTCCAGAGAGGAGTGGACTGGGGAAAGGAAAGGGGTCTTTCACTTTTGCCTGTGTGTGTGTGTGTGTGTGTGTGTGTGTGTGTATACATATATATACAAGTCTTTTTCAAGAGAATGGTATGTATTGCTTGTATGACTTTCTAAGATAAAAAGTATTTTTTTTAAAGAGAGTTTGCAGAGATTTGAAGGCTAGGTGGAACTCTGTTGCTAAGATTTGAGCATGCCACAATTTCTAATTTTATCTGTACATTACTTTTGATGAATGGCTGTCTCTACCACTAGAACCTAAATGGCAGGAGGACAGGAATCACCCTAGTTTTGCTCGGCCTAGTAGGCCTGACATTTAGCGACGTACCTGGCATGTAGTAGGTGCTCCACAAATATTTACTGAATGAGTGTAAGAATGAAGGAATGAATATCTGGAATGAGCAGCAAGTGGCCTATTGTCTTTGGCTGTTGGTTCCAGAACTGCTTCACTCTATTGGCTCTCTGGGCGTGATTCTGTTCTTTACTTTTTGGTATCCAGATCATAAGCTGGTGCAGACGAGACTTGCCCTTTCACCTGCCTGTGTTCACTGGGGCTCCTCTCACCTAGGTCCTCACCATGGAGTATACCAATGCCGGGAAGGCATAATTCCCACTGGCTTGGAAGAATGTACCATATACCCAGATGCACAGTTTAGTGTATGGGAGAGATACAAAAGAATAGGAAGGTGGATGCCAGGAAGAGAACGGGAGCTGAATGGGAGCAAATGGATTGCTGGGCGGGGTGGGGGGGGATAGATCAGAGGCAATAAATGCAGTGTTTTAAGTTAAAATAGATAATTAATGCCAGAGTGGACTTTTTATTGTTTATAAATGTCTACACAACTTATTCATTTCCAGACTGTGAACTTCAGTAGACTCTTAAAACTGGGGTTTAGCCTTTGCTAGAAACTGGTGTGTTTTTTCAGTAGCATATCTATTCTAGCTCAAAATAATTGCAAAGAGCAAATATCTCCATCTTAATGCAGTTTTCTTTTTCTTTTGATGTAAGACACTTTTATTGGCAGTAGTTCATAATGGTTTAGGGTGACATTTCCAGTATCATTATATCAACCATAAGCCCCTGAGAGAATGAGTCACGTGCCAGATGCTTAAGAAATTCTACATCTCTGGGGTGCCTGGGTGGTTCAGTAAGTTAAACATCTGCCCTCAGCTCAGGTCATGATCCTGGGGTCCTGAAATCAAGCCTCATCAGGCCCCATGCCCATTGAGGAGTCTGCTTCTCCCTCTCCCTCTACCCCTCCCCCAGCTTGTGTTCACATGCACACTCGCTCTCTTTTTTTCTCTCTCTCTCCTTCTCAAATAAATAAAATGTTTTAAAAAAGGAGAGAGATTCTACATTTCCAGTAATATGCTATTGATTGGTGATAACTGCTTTCCTGTCTTTATTAGTATTTAAAGGGGCAGATTTAACATTGTTAATATTTTTTATGGAAGTAGCTATCAAAATATTGCATGACTGACTCAGCAATCTACCACCAGAAACTTCTCCTACATCACATTCACATAAGAAGGTGAAGATATAGTACAGCATAGTTTTAACAGCAAAAGAGCCAACAATTTATAATATGGGCACATGAAAGAACACTATACAGCAATGAAAATGAGACAGATATATAAGTGATGGCAGAGAAAGATGTCCACGATAAATAATGAATTGTCAAATGAAAAAATCAAGATATACGTACATGATGAGGTTCATACAAGCCTAGTTGTATAAAAAGGAAAAAATATAAATCCCTATGTGCATATTCATGCTGCTCAATATAAAATCTCTATAAAGATATCCAAGTAGTTGATAATAGTGCTTTTTTCTAGGGAATGGAATGTACTTTTCTTTTTATATACTTCTATGTCATTGCAATTTCCAACCACATGCACACAAATCCTCTTATTCTTAATTTTTAAAATAAGCAATATATATAGACATGGTAAAAAATTCAAATGTTCTAAAAGGGCATACAGAGAAAACTAAATTGCTCTCTCACCTCAGACTCTCTTCCCAGAGGCAGCCACTGCTACTAGTTTCCTATATTTCTTTTCAAAAATAGTCTATGCACCATGTCCTATTTTTAGCATTGAAAATGCTAGTGTATGCATCAAAAACTAATGATGCGCTATGTGTTGACTAATTGAAAATAACAATTAAAAAGGAAAACGTTAGTGAAAAAAAAAGTTTACCAAGGAACCCTGCCATCAAACAGTCCAGATCATCAAGAAATCCTAACTCTGTTTTAGCAATTTCATCTTAACCGGAATGACAATAACCTACTGAATGCCCATTAGGTACCAGGCATTGCTTGGCCCTTTGTAGACAAGCCTGCAAAAGAGGAATATTATTATGATCTCCATTTGGTAGATGAATAAACTGAGAGTCACAGAAGTTAAGTGATTTACCTAAGTTATTTTATAACAGGGGTGACTTACCTAGTTGGCAAATACTGGCCTGCACTCAAATCCCAGGCACAATTTTGGACACTGCTACAATCCTGCCTGAGGTGCCATCACCAAAGTAAAATTTTTCCTGGCTTGAGTGACAAAGAGCACAATTAGGACTCCCTGAATTGTTTGTTTTACTTTCCACTTCTTTAGTGAAAAGAGGAGATTGGAAAAGAAGTGATTAGGAGATACCAAGAAGGTTAGCTTGGAGAAGAGGTGCAAGTTAGGATGCTAGGATATGCCCAGCCTCTGGAATGTTATGAGGCAAAGCTTGACACACATATGGAAGACTTTTCAATGGAAAACCATGGCTTCATCCTTTGCCTGGCCTACAAGGAGATAAAACCTTCGACATGCAAGTGCCTCTGAAGTTACGGTCAAACTCATTTGAAGACACTACCAACAGGTAGCAGCAGAGTCCCTGCAGACTGTGCTACCTTGGATTCAACCTGTGTAAGGAGTTGTTAAAGAAGACTACCTTTCCGTGTAAAGGGAGGCAATGATCCAGTTTCTTATCAAGCTTCCAGGAATCCATCTGGACCTCTGCCTCTCCAAGGAAAGTGTTTCTGCCAAAACGACCATGATGCCAAACTGAGAACTGCAAAGTCCTCTGGGCCAGAAGAGATTCTGGGATCTCATACTGCGAAAGAAAGAAGCCCAAGATGATTAGTTCATGGTAATTCCTCGGAAAAGATTATTCCAAAATCTGAGCAACCACATCCAAATTCCATAATCCTGAATGCCAAATTACTGTGGTCCCTAAGTGCTTTGAGTTTCCTCAGTCAAAGCCTTCACTTACCCCCCATTTCACAAAAATCTTCCACATCCTATGGTAGGACCTGGAAACTTAATTTTTCCTTGACTGGGTGCAAGAACAACGGAATCTTCAAAACAGACTGCCACAGAAACTTCTGATCCCAAATGATTTTTTAAAAGGAGATTTGTGGCGGCAGCTGGGTGGCTCAGTCATTTAAACATCTGCCTTCAGCTCAGGTCATGATCCCAGGGTCCTGGGATCGAACCCCTGCATCCGGGCCTCCCTGCTCAGCAGAGAGCCTGCATCTCTCTCTGCCCCCTGCCCCCACTCATGAGCGCTCTCTCTCTTTCTTTCTCAAATAAATAAAATCTTTAAAAAAATAAAATAAAATGAGATTTGTGGTCACATGACTCTCCAAATTCACAACAATGCAAAAAAGTCAGAACACTTTTGTTCTCTTCTCTGAGGGGTTAGTATGTGAACAGATGCCCATGGCCTATCTTCAGACACACACGTGGCCACAGAAAACCGTATCACCCAGGCTTGCCCTGCAGCAGAGGAATCACTATGGCTCAGCACACGAGACAGAACATGTTCTACTCTCGGGATCTAGATACATACTCTAAGGGTCTCATCATACAGTGGATTGATGGTGTCCCTCTTGATGCTGGTTTTTCTTTTTCCTTGGCGGGACTTGTCAGGCAGAAGATAAGTCTTCACATATCTAGAAATCAAGGAGAGTATGGAGTCATTTGTTGTTTTTTCTCAAGCCCGTTCTTCTCTGCTCTCCATATACAGGTGCCATCATGAAATGAAAATGCCACAGCAAGCCCTCTTAGACATGTCCTTCTAGCATGTTCCCAGTCCTTGTCCCTTTCCCACATCTCCACATGCCACTCTCAAATACACCTCCTCATCTGCCCAGGAAGTGATAACCTCAGTTCAAGAGTGCCCACACAGATGCCAGGGTCCAAGCTCTTGTCTCAGAGAATCAGTCAGGTTCCAGAAGCACTCACGGGTTAGAGCGCTTCTTAGCTTCATCCGCATAGGCCAGCTGGTGGCACTCCTTCACATGGATGACCAGAGTCTGTGTTTGCTGCTCATACTTCAGGGAAAAGGCAATCTTGCCCGTCACAAAGATGTTGCCGAAGTCGCCAGCTTCACTATAGATGCTCGTCATGCTGCCAATTGTACTCTGCAGATAAAGTGCCCACAGACGTCTGGCAAATAATCGCCCTTCCCACATTGCTCACATCTTCCCTTACAACAAAGCCATAGTCACTGAACAAAACAAAATCTTCAGAAGCCCCAGAGGATAAGACAGTACATAGCACATTTGCAACTGCTAAGCTTAATAATCAGTTCATGGCTCACCTGAGCTCTTAGCTTCTCTTCTTCCCCTCTTTTTACAAATTTTATTTTTAGTTTTCACCTGTCCCAGAAGGTAGACAAGGAGTAAGGGTAAGATGAAACTATGCTTCTGGTCATGTTATATATGCTAACATGTTGACTAGCAGGGGCCAGTTACTAATTAAAACAAAGTACCTTAATTATCTGTGGGTTGCTTTTTTATTTAAATTTTAGTGAACATACAATGCAATATTGGTTTCTGGAGTAGAATTCAGTGATTCATCACATACATATAATACCCAGTGCTCATCACAACAAGTGCCCTCTGTAATACCCATCAACCATCTAGCCCATCCACCACCCACCTCCCTCCACTGACCCTCAGTTTGTTCTCTATCCTTTAGAGTCCTTATGGCTTGTTTCCCTCTCTCCTTTTTTTCCTTTTCCTTCTTGCCATATGTTCACCTGTTTTGTTTCTTAAATTCCACATCTGAGTGAGATCTATCATATTTGTCTTTCCGTGAGCTACCTGATTTCACTCAGCATAATACACTCTAGCTCCATCCATGTTGTCGCAAATGGCAAAATTTCATTTTTTGATGGCTGAGTAATATTCCATTGTGTGTGTGTGTGTTTCTCTGTGTGTCTGTGGGTTTCTTTTACCTGCCTTAGCCCTATTAAGACCTACAGAAAAAAGTGATTATGTCAGATTTGGGGGGGGGAGGAAATCCCACCAGAGGTGAAAAGACTTCTTCCTCTCAGGTAGGAATCAGCTCTGTAAGCCTGCCATTCTATTCCTGTGTGGGAGTAGGAACAAACCCCAATCACCTTAGTTTCTGACTCTCTGTCTGTCCCCTAAACACCAAACTTCATAGTTCTGACAGAACTATGCCCTAATTCTTAAATGTGCCTTTAACTTCATGATTCTGATTGATATTGCTGCTCTTCAATCATACCATGATGCCAATTAACCCTGCCAGGGCCCCTCTCATGACAATGCTCATAAATGTGAGATTTGGAGTAGACTCTGATGAAGAAATATTACCTTGCTCACTTCAGTCCTCTTATCTTTTTAGGGAAGTCATGGTTTACTGTTCACAAAGCTGTGATCAAGAACATCTCTAGTCCAAATTGCCTAATTACCTGACTATTTCCAGGGCAGAGGCCGAGGAAAGTCACCTAGCTGTGCCCTACGCAACTACCGTCTAAACTGAGGATATGAACAGACAAATGCATCTCACTCACCTGGAAAGAGAGACTAGGATGATTTCCCCAGGTCCTGACTCTGTTCTAGAGAGATACTTCTTTCATTCCTGGTACCCCAACATGTCTGTAGCCACAGAACTAACAGAACTTACCATGGAGGAACCACTTCGCATGCTGCTTCTGGCTAGCTTCTGGCGATGCAGCTTCACCAGATGGTCAATGTCTTCTTCTTCCTCTTCCTCTTCCTCTTCCTGGAACAGTAAATATAGATTCAGAGTTAATAAAGTCAGAAAAAGTTCAAAGACTAATAAACTTCCTTGAGTGGGAGCCATAATTATTGCTCATCTCTGAGGTGTCATGTGCACATGCATGCACATTATCCTTATTTTAGGTCTCCCATTTCAGGCTTCAAAACTATATTCCCACCATCTTTCTCCAATCTCAAAAGAACAAGATAAGAATATCTCTTTCGCATTCGACTGCCCTAATCCAAACATCCCTTTACGTTTTTATCAAAATAAGTATTTGAGCTCCCAACTATATATCAAGCAACATATTAGAAGATAAAGAGACAGTGAGGACAATCTTTTTCTTTAAGGAATTCAGCAACTAGATTTACTTTAGGCATTTGGAGGAATCAAGATTCATGTTGCCTTTTCATAAAGAATTAAACAGGTTGATTAAGAGTATCGAGTACTAAGGTCAACTCTAGATTTATACAATTTCATATAGTGACCAATACAAGGGTACTTACCATATCTACACTGAGGCCTGGGACAGATTTGCTTCTGTCTCCCAAGGAGCCATTTTTATGTCCCACATCTTCCGGGCGAAGATCAATCACAGATTTAGTATATTCTGAATGGAAGACCAAAAACCCAAATCATAAGAGACCTACTCTTTTCCATACCAAGAACACATCCAGGGTACATAGGACTTCAATCTCAAAGGCCATAAAGGGAAACCTACCTGAAGGCCTGAGGATTTTTCTGGTGTTCTTCTTAAATATCATTTCACCCTCATCAATAGATGCCATGTTTTGACCCCCAGGCTGAGTTTCCTAGGAAGGAATAAGGGCAAGGAAATGGAAAAGGATTGTAGGGTAGGTGGAAGAATGGAGAAAGGGAAAAGAGCCTTAAGAAGAACAAGGCTCAGATTTTTGTTAAACTATACAAAGTTAAAGGAAAGATTAATTTAACCTTAAGAATTTAATTTAATCCTAGGAAGTAATACGAAACATATTTTCTCATGTTTTAACCAAAACCTTAAGTGCTCCCAAGTGAATCTGAACTGAAATTTGTTTCGTTGAATTCTTGATGTAAACTGCTCCTGAGAAGGGAGAAAGAAAGTGAGAAGAGAGAGAGAGAGAGAGAATGAGAGAAAGAAACTGATCCCAACTGACCAGTAACTAAAGCTTACCTTTTCCACTTGAGATGCAGGGGCAGACATCTTCTTCCACTCTGGAAAGAGGCCAGATTTATCCAGAGAGTCTCTCCTGGAGGTAGATATAGAAGTTATAACAAAATCACTTCCTTACTTTCCCTGTCTATGGAAGCTCTATGGAAGGAGATCCACTGGCTTGGGGTCACTGTAGTAACCAAATCCAGAAGGTAATACTCCACATCTGATTTGTCTTGAAGGAATGCAGACAATCGATAAGCAACTTTGCATGAACACACTCACTCCCCTATTCCTAAGGGACATCAGGGGCAGTTGCTACTGGTCCAAGAAGACTCCAAGATGCAGCAGCCTGTGGAAATTAGTGTGCCCTAGAAGGCTGTGCTCAGAGCCAACAGCGGATGTACTACTGACAAGACTTGTGGTGAGGTCAGAGAAAATACTTCATTTGACCTGCTGAGGACAGAAGTCAGCCACAGTGAAGCTACATTACAGGATCCCTGCATCCTGAACCAGACAACAAAATGGAGACTTGGGATAAGTGAAGGTACAGGGACTCATAGGGGTTTCACCTTGTCAGGCTATCCGAGTCAGCTGTGTAGCTATCCAGACTTTCACTCTCGGCCTCCAGCACACTCCTTATGCTTTTTGGCTTGGGCACTTCAAACAGCACACTAGAATAAAAACCAAGAACCGATATGTAGAGGAAATGGACTATCCTGCTGGGAGTCGGGCTTCCTTCCAGCCCATTCACACTGGTAGCCTGAGTGATCTTTCTAAGATAAATATCTGAGTATACTTAGGAAACTGTTCAGCAGTTCCTCCTTGCTGTTGGGATTGAGTTCAAACTCCTCACCATGGCAAGACAACCCTTAGGGTTTTGCCCCCTGCTCATTTCTCCAGACCCATCTCCACCCTCCTTGTACTTTACATTTCCAGAATGCTTAAGCTCTTTTGGTTCCTTGAATATGCCAAAGTTCTCCCTTTTACTCTTTTCTCTGCCTGGGGTGTTCTTTTCACAATGACCATTTTCCTATCCTGGCTAAATCAACTCCTTCTTTAGGTCTCTCCTTCTATGTTAATTCCTCTAGATGTCTCTATGTCCCCACTGCAAGTCTGGATTAGTAACCTTCCTATATGCTCCAAAAGGGCCCTGATTTCTTAGTAGCAGTCATCACATATGTAATTATCTATGTTTTTTAAACAAATTAATTTACCCAATAATTGAAACAAATGACTTATTTACTGTTTTTCTCCTCCATTAGATTAAGTTCTCTGAGATCAGTAACCACATATCTTGTTCACTGCTGTGTTCCCAATGCCTACAAGAAAAACCACCTTACAGTGGGCACTCCTGTATTTGTTGACTGAATCCCCTCAGTGGGGCTTAAAGTAGACACATAAATAAGAAGTATGTTTCAAAGACCATATTCAGAAGACCAGAATTCTTTCTCAGCTTTACAGATGACCCTGGGCATTCAAAATAGCAGTCCTCATTGCTAAACAGAAGGATACCATTCCTGGGCCTCAAGGAATTTGTGAGAGCAGTAAGAAAAAGGAAAAAATCATTCTTCCTCAAGAATCTCAACTAAATTCACTTGGCTGCCAGGACACAACACTCTCCTGGTCCTCTGACCTTGCTGCAGTCCCCTTCTCAGGTTCATTTGCTGGTCCTTCAGCTCCTAAACCTCCGATTTTCGGATTGTGTTCAGGCCTATTCCTTAGGCTGCTTCTTGTCACTCTCTAGAATTATCTCTAAATGATCTCATCTAGTTTCATGGCTTTAAATATCTTCTATAAACCAATAACTCCTAAATTTATCTCTCATTCAAACACCAGGCTTGGATTTCTAGCAGCCTACTTAACATTCCTACTTGGATGTTTCAGACACAGCAAATGTAAGACTAAGGCCCTAATCCTCCCCAAACCTGTTATTCCATCAATTTCATTGAATTACAACTTCCTCCTTTCATTTTTCTTGTTCAAAAATCTTAACAGTTTCCCTTAACTCCCCTCATTATCTCACAGTGCAAACCCAATCTATTAGCAAATACTGTTGGCTCTGTCTTCAACTATGTCTAGAATCTGACCAGTTCTTAGCCCTTCCACTGCCATTACTTTGGTCCAAACCACAATCATGTAGCTACTGGTCATGATATGGTCACAACAGCCTCCTGACTGAACTCCCTACTTTTACCCTGTCCCTACACAATCTATCCTCAATAGGATAGTCAAAATAGAAATCCAGGGGCTTTTAAAATATAAATCCGGGGGCTCTTCAAGGAGCCTGCTTCTCCCTCTGCCTGCAACTCCCCCCTGCTTGTGTTCTCTCTCTGACAAAAAATAATAATAATAAATAAAATCTTTAAAGTAAATAAATTTTTAAAATAAAATATAATTCCAGAATAGAATTACCATATGACCCAGCAATTCCGCTTCTAGATATATACCCAAGAGAACTGAAAACATGTGTCCACACAAAAACTTGTACATGAATGTTTAGACCAGCATTATTCAAAATAGCCAACAGGCAGAAACAGTCTAAATGTCTACCAATGGAGGAATGGATAAACAAAATGTGGTATATCCATATAATGAGATATTCCTGTCAATAAAAAGAAATAAAGTTATGATCCACACTACAACATGGATGAAACTTGAAAACATTACATGAGGTGAAAAAAGCAAGACATATTTTATATGACTCCATTTATATGAAATACCTAGAGTAGGCAAACCTGCAGAGAGAAAGCAGACTGGGGACTGGAGGAAATGGGGAGCAGGGTTTCTTTCTATAGTGATGAAAATGTTCTGAAGTTAAACCATGGTGATGGTTGCACCACATTCTGAAAGTACTAAAAGCCACTGAGTGGTGTGCCTTAAAATTGCAAAAATGACAAATGGTACATTATGTGATTTTTACCTCAATTTAAAAATAGAAAAAAACATATATATCTTGTCACTCAGAGTGAAAGACAGAGTCCTTACGAGTGCCAAAAAAGTCCTACATGATCTGCTTCTCAGCCTTTTTCATCCCCCCAGATACTTCCCATCTGCTTCTCGTTCTTGCTGTCCTCATCTCCTGCCACTCACCACCTTGCTCACTCGGTTCCAGATTACACAAACATGCCAAATACAAACTCACCTTAGGCTCTTTATATTTTCTGCTTTCTCTGCCCACAATGCTTTTCCCCCAGGTGGGTTTGTTCCCTCATTTGTTGCATGTCTTTGCTCAGATATCACCATATTATTAAGACTTTTCCCTAAGTAAAACAGCATGGGTACACAATATGTTTTCCTGCCACTCCCTATTCCTTTAGCCCACTTCATTTTCTCCATAGCACTTGTCAACATCTGATTTGATATATTCATTTGAATATTGTCTGTGTCTCCCCATCCCAAAATCTAAGCTTCTCAAGCAAGGGACTTTCTTGTATTTACCAGTGTATCCCTTGGCCTAAAACAGTGCCTGGCAAATAGCAGGCATTTATAGACATTTGTTTAAAAAATGAGTGAACTATGGGGCACCTGGGTGGCTCAGTGGGTTAAGCCACTGCCTTCAGCTCGGGTCATGATCTCAGGGTCCTGGGATCGAGCCCCGCATCGGGCTCTCTGCTCAGCAGGGAGCCTGCTTGCCCCCCCCCCGCCCCTGCTTGCCTCTCTGCCTACTTGCGATTTCTCTGTCAAATAAATAAATAAAATCTTTAAAAAAATAAAAATTAAAAATGCATGAACTAATACACGAACAAAGAACAAATTACCCAGGAAAAAAAGAACAAAATAACCAGAATCTATAATGTCTTAGGCAGCAAAGAATAAACTTTCCAAGTTATCACATGATGTTTGCAATAGCTTTATGAAAACAGACAGCCTGGGTTGAAATCCTAGGGCCTGCAAGAGGTAAAACGGTGGTCATTTCTTGAGAAATATTTTAGCTTTATAGTCCAAGGTACAGCAGGGAAGTTGATTTCATTTTTACTTTAGAATTGTTCTTTTTCCCCCCCTTTTTCCAATGAAAAAAGAACCCAATGCAGAACCCTTCCTCCAGAGAGGCAGTTTAACAATAGCTCATGGAGTGTGTTTTGTGCTTGTATTTTTTCTCCTAAAGATGAATATGTACTAATCCAGAGCTGACACAAATAACCCTAGGGCAAAAAGGCAATTATTGACATCTGTGCAGTAAAAAATAGACTAAGAGATGTGAGTTCTGGGCTCTATCTATCTGTATGATCACAGGTAAATCACTTATCTGGCTTTCTTTTCTGTAAAAGGAAGAGGGCTAAATTTGATTACCTCTGAGTCTCCATAATTTTATGGCAAAGGTCATTTATGGCCACTTAATCTGCTTCCATGTTTAGGATAAATAAGTCTTCTGGGCCCAATGAGACAAGAGGTCATAGATAGCCAGAAGCAGCGGATTTCAGAAATTACATTCTGACCGATGATGTCAGATGTGTTAATTGGATTCAGGAAATAAAAGCTGTTTTTTAGCCTTATCCAAAGGAAAAAGGGGGTCTTGTCACCTAGAACAAATGAGTCACCCACCCAAAGCTGTGTGGATAAACTAGCAGTACATACACACAATGAAATACCATAAAGATAGCAAAAAGAATGAGAGAGAACCTTCGTGTGGACATGGAAAGATGTGGATGTTAGATTTTTCTATACTTGTTCCTTTTACATCTTGAGTTATAACTGACATAAGTAAACTGCAAGCACTTAAGTGTGCAATTTGGTGAGTTTTAACATATACATACACTTGTGAAACCATCACAGCAATTGAGTGAATTCATCTATCACTCTCAAAGGTTTCCTCTTGCTCCTTCATATCCTTTCCCCTCTCCCTGCCTCTGTCCCCAGACAGAAAGTGCTGATCTGCATTCTGTCACTAAAATGTGGGTTGAGTTTTCTGGAATTTTATATAAATAAAATCATATAGTATGTCCTCTCTTTTGTTTGGCTTCTTTCACTCAGCATGATTATTTTGAGGTTCACCCATGTTATTGTTTGAACCAACAGTTTATTCCTTCCTTTCCATTGCTGAGTAGTATTCCACTGTATAAACCAACCACAATTTATCCCTTCACCTGTTAATAGACATTTAAGTTGTTTCCAGATTTTGGCTATTGCAAACAAAGCTGCCAGGAACATTCACATACTAGTCTTCACATGGACATACACTTTCGCTTCTCTTGAGTAAATACCGAGGAATGGAACGGCTGAATCGCAAAGTAACACATATATTTTTCTAAATTAAAAAAAAAATTTTATAAACATATAATGTATTATTAGCCCCAGGGGTACAGGTCTGTGAATCGCCAGGTTTACACACTTCACAGCACTCACCATAGCACATACCCTCCCCCATGTCAATAACCCCACCACCCTCGCCCTACCTCCCTCCCCCAGGCAATCCTCAGTTTGCTTTGTGAGATTAAGAGTCTCTTATGGTTTGTCTCCCTCCCGATCCCATCTTGTTTCATTTATTTTTTTCCTACCCCCCAAACCTCCCACATTGCATCTCCACTCCTCATATCAGGGAGATCATGTGATAGTTGTCTTTCTCCGATTGACTTATTTCACTAAGCATAATACCCTCCAGTTCCATCCAGGTCATTGCAAATGGCAAGATTTCATTTCTTTTGATGGCTGCATAGTATTCCATTGTATATAC